TTTACAGATTTAATACCGAGTGAAGGTATGCAGATAAGTGGATAAAGAGTTAAACTGCCACATTCTAATGCATGTTGATATCTTTGTTTCTCATCTCATGGAGGAGAGAGCACAGAGCTCTAACATTGCATTCTGCTGTCTAGCCTGCTCTCTCTCTCTCTCTCTCTCTCCTAATCACAGGCCCACGGTGTGGCCAGCATGCTGGGCAAGGAGTTACACACCGCACACCGTTAAAGCAGCTCTTTAATTAGCAATGGGGGGGTTAAAACACAGGGATCTATAAACGCACCACTTTTTTTTTTTTTTTAATGCATCGAGCGACCAGCAGCGTGCACTGAACAAGCAAGCCGGGGAGAGCGGCAGCAGCCTCGGCTTCTTCACAGTAGCTGCTGCAAAACAACTTGCAGCTTTAACGCGCACTTGTTTCCCCAAACAGAACTGCAACAAAAACAACAGCATGGGAAATTCATTTACAGGCTGTTGTAATATCCACTGCAGTTCAATGTGTGTGTGTGTGTGTGTGTGTGTGTCTGTCTGTGAAAGCGGAGTGAGCTGCGATGCTTCAGTTCAAACATGCATGTCAATAAAAAAAAATTAAAAAAAAAGAACAGCGCCCAAAGCCGCTAAAGGCACAAAAGTATAAGACAGGCAGATGGATACAGAGAGAGAGACCAGAGAGGAAAGGCAGAGAAGAGACACAGTATTATCTCGCTACAGTGTAACAGAGACGGAGACGCTTGCTGAGGCAAAGCGAACCCCCCAAACATCGTCAACGTGAGGCACAAAACGCGAAACAAGTGAAGCTAAAAAAAAAAAAACCCCACACCGCTCAGCGCCAACATCTCTGCGAGGAAAGGAAGCTTTGACAAACCTGACGAAGCGAGGACACTTCTTCCACTGAATAGGCTGATGTCCGGAGTTTGTGTGTATGTATGTGTGTGTGTGTGTGTGTGTGTGATACACACACGCACTGGTGTTTTCTCTCTCTCTCTCTCTCTCTCTCTCTCTCTCTCTCTCTCTCTCTCCTCTGCCGTAGAGATAGTGCTGATGTTTCCACTTCCTCTTTTCTTCTGCCGTCTGCTGGCTGCTTCATGGGAGCAGAGCTGCTCCTCACTGAGTCACTGCTTCGACGAGTGGATGGTGGCATTAAATCACATTAGTTTTTTAAAAAGAAGCAGTGGGCTGCTTGTGTATTTTAGCAGCTTTGAAGTTAGTTAACGAGCTTGTCTACATAAGTGTTGTCTCAGTGTGAATTAGATGAAAAAGCAAGGGGAAATAATCACTTGGCTTGCTTGATATTTGAATTTAAGGATGACAAAGGACACTGATCAGATTTTCGCGTGCTAGTAAAGTAAGTAAATTTAAAGTCCCCCTCCACTCAAATATGTTTTGCTTCTAGTTCCTACAGTTGGGTGTTTGAGTTTCACTGTGCAGAGTTTGACACTAGAAGGAAGTTATCACATTAATTTGCTGAAAGCGGAAAGTTTCTCTGTGCTCATTGAAAATCTGATTTTTAAGGGGCGGGGCCTATGAGCATGATTTGTGACATCACAAATAGTTTGGAAGTCAAACCTGGTCCAGTCTGCAGCTTATACAGTGATATAGAAACATGAAGCCTCCAGTGCATATACACTGAGAATGGACAGTGAAGAAGGAAACATCTTGTGTCCAGCAGGAAAACAAAATTTGCATATTCATAGATTCTGAATGTTTTTATCAGGTAGGAGTAGATGAGTTATTGATAGTGTAGATAATGTGAAAATTAGGCGTTTTTGTGTGGGTAAAAAAACATATCAGACACACATTACTGTTCCAAGCAGCAGAATTTTAATAATTCAATATTTCCTCCTGTCATAAAGAGGTGAGTCACTCAGCTCATGTTGTTCATAATGTATGCACACAATGCACAAAGAAGATGAAGAGAGGAGTGTTTAGGTATAGGCTACATGTTTGTATTTTTTTCCATTTAAGTGTTGTTAATTACTATTTAATTTAGACTTGGGTCAGTTATTATAAATCCTATTACTTTGATAGCTGTCCTGTTTCCTTGAACATTTAAAAAAAAAAAATTTAGGCAAGGCAAACGTATGTCACATATTAGTCCCATTAAAAAAACAGGGCAATTCAAAGTGCTTTTCATCAAAACATGAAAAGGCATTTAGACAAAATCTACTAAACACAGCGCAATATAAAAAGTCACACAAATAGGATTTTAAAAGGGTTAAAAAAATTGTAATTGCAGAAATTAAATCTTGGAATTTACAATTTGACATTACTGAATGTTTTATTACTTCAAATCTTTATATCGTATCATCTTAATCAAGTTGATAAATTAAAACTCTAAGCACTATTTATTATAGTACTGAGCAGAAAGTAAATTGTAAAATAGCGCAATAATGTAATACATTTAGCTAAGCTTTAAAAAATAATTATGCTTTTGTTGATTGCTTTTTAAATTTTGTAATATTGGTTTAACAATTGACCCTGAGCTCCCCTAGTGGACAGTAGCTTTACCTACACCGTCTAAACAAATGTAAAGCGTTATTTACAATAAATTATATCTGAATTATATGAATAAACAGTCGGGGATGTTGTCTCTCTCCATGATGGGTGACACAAAGACACAACTGCCTCCAATCTTGCAGCCAAAGGGGAAGGCAAACAGGAACAATGATTTCAATAATTCATGGCTATTGAACGCTGTCTGGCCCCCACTCATACACACAGAACTGTTTGGAGGGTGGCATTATGACCTTCTAATGTTGATACAGCTTAGCAGTGCTATAGTTTCATTGGATTTCATTGTACAGGACAGGGTAAAGAACTATAGCACTATAGTACAACAGCCCTGAGCCACATGAGGCCACTTCCCTTTAATTTTCTCTGTGCTTACAGATTGTTTCTCATATTAAACCCCAGAGTGTGAGACTAAAAGAGAGAGAGAATAGTGTATAGCAGACAGTCCTGCAGCTCATCCTTGTCTCCACTCAGCGGGAGCAGCAGGAGGAGGATTAATACAGGAGCCCTGTCCGTCCTGATAAATAATCTGGAGCCGACACACCCAGCAGAAATCTCTCTTTCTCTCTCTGTTTTGTTTTTCTCTCTGTGAAAAACACAGGATACAAGCCTCTGCCCATTTAAATGACAGCCTTTGTCCTCTACTAAATTGTTAATTTGACAACACGTGGGCAAGTGGGGGTCTGATCCATAAAAAACTGATTATTTGACTCAGTGCGACAACAATTTTGTGTTGTTGTTCAGGACACAGCTGTTTTGAGGTATCTGTTTAAGATTACATTTTGATAGTATACTAGTTTCAAATGATTCTTTGTTTTTAACCCATGGGAATTACATCAGATTGAAGGGGTTTAAACATCCAAGCAGTTCAAATTGTGCAGAAATAAATTCTAAACACTACTTCGTGTTTTTTTTTCAGACCAGGGAACAGCAGCAAGCAAACTAAACTTTCCTCTATTCTGTTCACATCATTGAGTTATGGTGACTTTTGCATATCTGACTTCAGCTTCAAAGCGGTCAAAACTACATCAGAGGACTCACAGAGGATGTAATCGTTTTATCTGAGACAGCAAAGAGGCAGTGGAGTGGTTTAAAGCCAGCCCATATGGTTTAAAAGTACTGCATGATGCATTCAGTAAAGTGCAGACTCACAATGCAGTGCAATGTGAGTCTGCATCCAAGAAAATGCAGTCACTCTTGTTATGCATCTCACAAAGGTAAGCTTTAGATTGTTTTCTTTTATGCGTGGACTTCAGTTGTCACTTTTACCTGGTTGTGTTGTAACTCACTTGGCTTTGAACACCCCTTGTTTCACAACCACTGGCTGAACCGCTACCCATCTGCACATCTGGTGTGAAGATGGTATCACATAGCCAAAAAGGAGAAACGCCTCGTTACTGCATCATTCTCTTTCAGCAAAACATTATTATTATTCATGAGTTAAGTGCAGTGCTCTAGTCATAAAAGATTTAATTATCTAGTTTTCTGCAAATATGTTGGGCCTCTAACACAATCTGCACAGTGAGTCGGGCCTGGCACTCAATCTGACCTGTCCCTTGTCCAAGAAGACAGAGTGCTTCAATAAAGACTCTCCGCTGACCAAATTCTCTCTACGTGGCACAACCTCCCTCTGAGCAGCTTGTGACTGAATCTCATCTGGGAGATTCATTGTTCTACTCAGAGACAGAAAAAGTCAACGTGGAACAGACTGTTTCAATAAAGTGGATTTATCTTTGGTTATTGGTCAAAGCGCTAGAAAAAGAATGGACAGAGCTGCTACAGAAAAAGATGAGAATAAATAAACTCTAAATCAGCAACTAAAAAGCTCTAATGGCTGCATAATCTGTCACTCTTTGATGAAACTCTAATTTCTCACATAAACACGTACATTCCCTACAGCATTTGAGTTACTCAGAAAGCCTAAGACACAAATCTAAATGGAAATCTAGTTTGCTTGTTCCCTGTAGGTCTACTGTAATTGTCTCTCTATCAGGGTCATTAGGAAGTGGGAATGTTTCTAGTTCATTTCCACAGGGATTCCTCTTTAAATTGTGCTGCTCATGAAGGAGAGAAGACTTCCTCTCTTATGCAGCCTACAGGGTATGTCTTGTGAGTGAAGTAGCTACCGTGAGCGTGTGGTTGAGAACCTGGTTTGATGAATCGTTGATGGTAGCTCGACACAGACAGGGAGGATCGCTCTGCATCGTGTAGGTTACAGACTGTGAAATTATTTTTAAGAAACACTCTCAAGTATCCACAGACTGCTGGCAGGACAAGATGAAAAGAGAAATGTTCTTCAGCTCTTAGGAAGGTCAGGGCGGTACTGCGCCGTGAACTTTTTAATGATCAGCCTTCTGTGTGTGGAGTTTCACTGCGCTATCCTCAAAAGATTAAGCCGTCATCGACATGAAAAATAGCGGCCCATTAAGTCAAGGCCGAGATTATTAGCATCTTTGTTTTTGCAGCCTAGAGCTGGGCAAGCCTTGGAGAAAAAGAGACATCTTTATTCTCAGAATAAGGGAACACATTCACATACATTCTTTCCCCATCTCTGTGGCTTTTTTTGCAGAACAAATAAGCATATTCCAACCTCAAATAATTCAAAATATTTATGTACAGTCACAAGCATTCAAACATTCGGGCTTGTGTGGAAGACAAATTCTAACTGTACTGTACTACTAATTTGGATTTTTTTTTTCCACCTCTCTGCGTTTAGCACACTCTACAATCAAAGTATTTAAAAGCAGCGAGATGGCAGGGATGAAATAAAAATATGGTGGAAAATACAATCTCTTAATGACACACTGTATTTGCTGACATGCTATCTTATTAGACGCCGTAAAAGAACATTATCCCTTACACCAGCGGTCTCATTTCATATCACTTTAGAATCATTACCCATGCAGCTAATGCTCTTTGACGCACATATGCACCAAGGCACACGTGCACATGCTTACTTAAGCAGCTGTTCCATATGATCCTGCGCTGTGTGATTTAACAGAGAGGATGTAAATGCAAAGTCGTCATTCCTGGAGAGAAGTCATGCACTGGGGATTTAGTTTTAGGGTTTCAACCTGTTGAGAAAAGACTTAAAAGGGTCTCCAGAGGGCAGTTCTTACTGAGCCAGAACACACTTCACTACTGCATGAGACCTACCATTGGTGCTACTTCATTCACGGTCTCTTTCCTACGTTTAAACCACGCAGTATACGGGTACGTATGTGAGCATGTTCCAAACGTTCAATCTGAATCTGAGCAGTCACTGGTTTTGGAGGACTTGTGCTTTTGTTTCCTTTTTCGCTTCTTCTTGTCTTTCTTTTTTTTGTCCTTCCTCTTTTTCCTTTTCTTGCCGCGATGGTGATCAGAGGAGGAAGAGGTGGAGGAAGAGGAGGAGCTGTCTGAATTGGAGGAAGTGGTGTCCTGAAGCAGCTGCTGCAGCTGCTGGATCCTAGAAGCAGGAAGGGCAGGGAGGAAAGGAGGAGAGGAGGTGGGGATTAGAGTCAGTGTAGGGAGGATACACACAAGATGCAGACTTGGATGCCTGGGGGTTGGCAGGCATCTGAAGCGTCCTTGAGCAAGACACCGTTTTCGTCCTAGTGACGGCATTTCCGGACTGTGGAGTTCGCCAAGTGCCTTCTTGTGTTACATATTTCCAGTAATTACCAATAGTGCCGAAGTACCCGTTAAAACTGCAGGTGTGTGGAAGCTTTTCCAAACAGATTGGGACATGGTGGGATAATGGGGACCCTGTTGCTCAAATTAAGGGTTGTGCTCAGATGACTTTTTAAAATAACCATATTCTAACCAGAGTTAACCATTAATGGTAAACTTTCACCTAAAACTTAACAGTGGGGGGGATCATTTCACAGTCAATAAAAAAGATGAATATATTATTTGGTCATAAATGTGAACATGTACACTCTGCATAGATTCCACTGGCCAGGAGACAAGTCAATAATCTGGTGAATGGCACAACTACAGAGAGTACAGGTGACTCCAGCTGCTCCGGAACTAGGTCAGATAAATATATCTGCTTGTCTACAGCCAAATAAGGTAAAAAAAAAAGGAAGATTAAAATGTCAACACATCACAGAACACAAAACATTTGTCAGAAAGGAGAAGGAAAAAAGAGATATTGGATGTACAGCAGCGAGGCCACTGGAGTACAGGCCCTTTAATTAGCTCAGGAAAGTGAGCTGCCACACAGAGTGATGATATCAGAAATATACAATTTATGAAGACATCTGGAAGCTTAACTATTCAACTATGGAAGTGTGTCTTTGAGAAAACATTGACATGCTCTTGTGAAGTGTCCATCAGGCCTCATTATAGTGGGGTTGATCTCATGGAGCAGAACGATCATCTGGACACTTGGGATGTCATGCTGCTCCTTAAAGTGTACCTCTAATCCTCAAAGTGAACTCCATCTTAAAAGCACTTCATAACCTACAACTACATCTTTAAAAAAATGATCTTCCTCCAGCTCAAAGACTTCAGATTCACAATGTAAAACAACACATCTTTATACTAAAGCCACAGGCTGTAATAACCAGTGGAAAAAGGGGAACCAACTCTGACTCTACCTCTGACTTGATAATATATATTATTATTATATTATAATATATATTAATCCTCAATACTTGATAAAAACCATCCTTAAAATTAGATAAACTATGTATCATAATATGTGGAATACAAAATGAATACAACATAGATAAAATAACCGGGCCAAGACATATATTCAACTGAGAATATCTTTATAACCCTGAACAACTGCAAAAAATAACATTTCAACAAATATAGATAGGTAATACTGAAAAAAAATTGAAAAATGAATTGTTTTTATCGATCGCCACCCCATTATAAGAGGCTACCAACTCAAGGACAACTAGAGACACAATACTGTATGTGCAATTGGAAAGCAAACACGCAGGGAGAAGTTGGACTGTTTCACTTCCTTTTCAAAGAAGATGCCAAAATTAATGTGGCACAGACACACAACTGAGACTTCAAAGCACCACTGGCCTTTGAATAACCTTTTCGTAATGCATGCAAAAACACACACAACGTGCAAGTGCTGCTGCTGCTCTGCACGTGTGTAAGCCCCCCCCCCCACACACACACACACACACACACACACACACACACACACACACACACACACACAGTGAGCCTTCATAGAAACCTCAAATTCAAACATCCTGGTGTCAAACACTATTTGCTAGAAACTGGCACAGAGAACCAGCCACCATGAGAGAATTTCCAGGTCATCTGAGATTGTCCTAGTCCGCTGAGGGAAAGTAGTCAAAAACTGCAGGTTCTCAAGTGTTTGATCTAACTGTCTGAGAGCAGCCTCAAAACTGTCTTTTCAAACTATTAAAAGTTTAGAAAACATGACTCTGATTCAGGGGAATTACAGTAAAGGATGTAAACAACATGCATGTATGAAAAAAAAAAAAGAATGTATATTACCTGGTTTCTTTTTCATTCCTTTTGTTTTCGCGAATTATGTCGTACATTGGGTCTTCATGAGCCTAAAAGAATGCAGCACAATCTGTCATTACCTACTATGAAGAAAGGAAAATAAAAATCATTCCTACTCACAGTGAGAGTTGCTCTATTCACGTCATACCCAGGAAATTATCCCCACTCAACACATTCCAGCCATTGTACTGATTCTAGTGTTATGTCAGCATTTTTAAAAAGCTCCTTGTGACAATACAAGGTAGGAAAATATGATACAGTTGCATTTATGGTAATCATTGCAGAGGCTGCTTCCCTGTCTACAGTAGATATTATTCCATTACAGGCGCACTGGAACCGGCTGTATGAAGAAGTCTGCTGCCCACATGTTCCCCAGTGTAAACTAAATGTGTCCCAACTCTGTTGTTAACCTCAGCAGAAGGTCTCAGACATACTTGTTTCTGTCGCAGCTCCTTGACCTTACCACAACCCAACCTACATTCCTTAACTGTAGACTATTATTTGATATCTTCTCTAAATAACTATGGGTGGGCTCCTTTTCTCACCACTCTGAACTGCTCCAGTTTCTGGTTGCCTTTGATGAAGAACGGACACTCCCTGTCTCCTGTCCTGTGGCCGTAGCGCTTGCATCTCCAACCTGCGGCAAAGGAAACAAATATCATTTTGTGTATGTGACGTAGCGGGTGCATAATTTCAGATTTGGCATTTAAAAAAAAAATAGATCAAATATGGGCACGCAAGTACATTCTTGACCTTGGGAACAGCAGTTTGACAAAATAATCTTAACTCGAGGTCCACTTAATGGCTCTTTCTCAAGCTTTCAACCGCATTGTACAGCCTTCATCTCGAAAACAGAGTGTTGTTATGGAGTAAATTCATGTTTTTTAGGGTTTTTATTTGACTGTAGTGTCTTTCTGACCCCCAACCTTTACAGGAACACACAGGCCCATACACATTAATTTAGGGTAAAGTAAAAATGTTTCCTTTTGTTTGTGTAATTCAAAAAGCCAACAGAAACAACTTGGAGTCACAGACTCAAACAGCCCTGCTCATGTGGCAATGTGTTGCATAATGTATGCCTCATAATAAAAGACAGATCTTCTCGAACAAACCATAAATCATCAATCGTGCTTCACTGAAAAGAAGTTGTGGCAATATTTCACACTGTTTTAATGTTCGACACTTTAAGTGGCAGTGTTGCTACCATGAATAACTTGAGTCTTTGTACAGTGAGACCACACAAATGCTGTTTGTCCTCTAAAACTAGTTTTGTGCACAATCCTTTACTCAGGTTTTTCACGTCCATATCATTCACTGTGACGTCTCCCCGTTCCTTTAAACAGGATGACATACTGGGACATTTTCTCAAAGGATTAAGCTGAGCGAGTCACGCTCAGATTCTGCAGAACAAATGCCAACTCGTGGACACGGCCTGTGTGTGTATATGTGTGTGTGTGCCGACTCCCTAAGTCCCTGGCTGTTAATGCTGCATGGAAAGGAGTGGGACAAAGGAATGAATGCACACTGAATATAATGCTAGCCTTTGTCTGACCAAAAGGACAGAAGGTAGCGTCCACAACAGCATTATTAATCTCTAGCCCTTCATGTTTGTCAGAGAAATGATGGACGTGGTGTTAATTGCGAAGTACTTGTGGATACATGTATCACCTATCAAGACCGCTGCCCATGCATGGTGGACGTTTACTCCCACCTACAGTTCTTGAACTATAAGTACTGCTGTTACTTCTTTAGCTGATGATCATCTTTATTTGTAACGGTGTCTCCAAATTGTGTCAGCACAGGTTAAGGCCTTTCAAGAGCTTTTAAATTATAATTAGAAAGAATATGAGGAATACATGCAACTATGAGAAGACGCCCTGCATATTGTTTTCATTGCAAGAACCCAGCAACTCTAGTAGTTAATTTAAGGTTAAAAGCACACATCTAACTGTATTAAAAATCAGGCAATTTAAGATGTTTTCAGGACTTACAAACAGCGTGTATCGTGAAGTACTGATCTAAGAACACTTAGGCAGGTGCTTCAACTACAAACAAATGTAAAATTGAGATGATCAGACTAAATAACAACACTGGCAAATGGAAATTAAAGATGTAAAAATCAAAACAGTATCAAAAGGTCAAAAGACCATTGGAAAAGAACTCACATAAAAGTCACAGCAAGGGGCCGTATCTTAGTAAAGATTTCTTTCTCACACAAGTGTATAAATAAAGAGCCAGGGGTTTGAGGAATATCCAGTTAGGGCCTCAATCTTGCACATACAACAGTAATAATTTCTCCCTCTCTGATTGCAAACCGCAGCTGATATCGCTGAATAACTGTAACTCACACTGCATCACCTTCACCTCCTTCCCCAGAGGCATCCACAGCCCCCTGGTGGGGGCATTTGCCAGGAAGGTCCTGGCCTCTTCATTTCCTGGTTCAGCAGGAATACAGTCCTCTGGTTTGTCCTCATGCTCCTGCAACAGCAACTGTCACTTCTCAACATTTCCGCGAGTAAAAATTAAGATTGTTTAAAGCTTCCAGGCATCAACTTAAGTGTATTTTAGTGTGAGTGGTGTTACCTTTATGAATCCTGGTGGAGGTTTCTCATAACTGTTGGAAAGACAGATAATACTGACGTTAACTCTTGTTTAAATGCTGAATTAACTATAAGGAACTCAGCTGTCTTTCCCACCACTATCTAACGTTACCTTGTCAAATATCATGTATTTGTGATTAAATTGAACTGGTGAGTTACATTTATAATTCATAAATAAGTTTGCAAGCTTAGACAGGAAAGCTCTTATTAATATTACTCACAATGTCTCAACGTGTTTCAGTGTTTGGACTTCTTGGTTGAGTTTCTTCGTGTGTGTTTTGAGTTTCTCCAAATCCTGTTTGGATGTCTTGTGTCTCTTGTGGTCTCGTCTTTCTTCCTTCTCTCTTGCTCGCTTTCTGTCCGACATTGCCCCGATATCGACAAGCCGGGTCCCCGAAAAAAAGTCATTAACTTATAAATAATGCTGTATTCAAGGGTAATTTGTCATCTGCTCGGTAAAAAAAAAAAAAAAAACCCCACACAGGACAACGTGCTAACCAGCTGCTAACTAGCAAACATTTCTCTGGTGCTGCTGTACTTCCTGTGCAGCCGGGTTGGTTAGTTAAAGTCCAGCGCCACCTGCAGGACATGCGCAGTAGTACATGCTTTATTTCATGCATTCTCACACTGGAAAAACTGTTTGACTAAATATCCCCAGAAAAACACTTTTTTTTTATCCTGCATCACAAAACAGGACCTTTCTGTACAGTTTTAATTACATTTTATGCAACTTGATAGCAAATCAGTGTGTTATTTTACTATGTAAGCTACCATTCATAAGTTTGGTATTGCCCTGATTCTGTACAGGCAGATGGCCAAGAGGATTATTCTACTTTTATGCTGTAGAAAGTCCTCTTTACAAATGATATCCAAAGGGCAAGAAGAGACAAAGTTACATAACAACATAAGAAATTAATGGTGAAATAAACTGTAAGCATCAAATTCTGTGCAGATTTAAATTCCTGTTTCATGTTTCAGTGTCAAGTGCGCAATAATGTCTATAAAAAACTGAAATTAAGTGTTGCTTTAGCAAACCTATTCTTAAAACCTCAAAACAGAAAGTTAGTCTAGGGTTAGCACTATTGGAATTGGACCCCAGTCTAGCAGCTGAACATACTGTGGACTGATAATCATATTTTAAACCTATTCAACTGCGTAGACTGCAGAGGGCCCAAAGAAAAATAGATTCCCAGAATATTTAGAACCCAATTGTAAATTGTGGTTCAATAATAATCTGTGGCCACGTTTCAGGATTTAAAATCAAAGGCTATTTGGGGAGTAAAAAATTATTACAACAGTATTCTCCCCTGTCATGCACTACTGTGGGGACATTGACAAAATGGAAGTTTTACTCATTTAATTATACTTCTTTTGGGGCCGAAACTATTTCAAATGTGAATAATACATCTGGTCTGAATTATACTGCTTTTATCTTTGATTAAAAAAAAGATAACATCAGTAAAACAGGTGATTCCAAACCTTTGAACGATATTTTCAATTTTATCTTTGGCACAAAAGTTTTTTTTCAGCATGAATAATGTTTAATGTCTTAAACTTAACACAGTTTGGGTTTCTTAGTCGCAAAGTTGGCAGGGGAGTGAGGTTAAGTTTAAAGACTCCTTAAACCATCCTCAGTAAATGCAGCTGGATTAATGACATATTTTACATCCATATCTGCAGCGGCACAGACATAAACTCTGCAAGAGTTAAGTTCCAGTATAAGAAAGTTTCAAGCACTGATGTTCTCAGTCACTAGGAATAAACAGCACAGTTTAACAGACCGCAAAGGTTTTATTTAAGAGAATCACGATGTAGGAGGAATACAAATGTGAGGTATTTCCGGATTTAAACACATACTATACACTGAATAGCTAATGAAAAGGTACGTAATCAGGCAGTACAAAATGCAGTAGATATATTTAAATTTCTGCTCTTAACAAAAAGATGAAATTAGTAACCTTACAAAAACATATTGCCAAAGAAAATATTACAATAAAATGTAAAGTCTTGACAACATTGATTGTCAATAAGGTTTTAGGCAGATGTGCCTATTCAATGTAAACAGCAACTGATGAGTCCCATTGTAGATAATGAATACAAATATCTTCACTGGTGACGATGCACAGTTTCAAAATCATTTGTATGCATCTACAAAAATGCAACAGTGGCAACAACATACATATATTTGTCAATCTGTCATGTTAAGCCAATGCCATAACAAATGAATTCACACATCTCCCCACTGGAGAGGGCCAAAAAATAATGTGAGCAAATACAAAAGTTTTAACATCAAGAATGAATCGGAAATAATTTTATATTTATTTATTATATAAAGGTATAATTGTAACCTTAGAAAAAAAAAATCCAAAATGGAGACGGATATCGGCATGCAAACCAGCTTGTCATGCCACAAACGGCACCGCAGAACAAAGTTGGGGGTTCCTGCGATGTTCCCAACATTTGATAAATATTGAATAATTCCTTAAACATTCCACTTAAAAACAGCATCCCCAGTTTAGGAGATTATAAGAGGCGTGTGCTAAATTACACAAAAGAAGCATTCTCCTCTGACTGGCTCAGCAGAAGATGCAGTAACCCCGATTAACAGTTGAAATAGCCACCCCAGTGCTCCCAGTTGTTAAATTCAGGATACCAGGAGTGCCATTCCAAACAGCCCAGCAATAGTTGTGTTGGTGGGCAAACTGTAACCCATCCCACACTGGCTCGGAAACCAAAGTCACTTTCTTAAGTTCCCCCCTAGCCTTTGGTGTAAACAGGTCACAACATGGGTCTAACCCCTTGTTTTTTTAAGAGTATACATTAAAGACAAGGTGCATTTGGGAGATACTCAAAGTGAGGAGAGAAAATCTTTCAAGCCCCGCTTCTTGCTGCCTTTGGTGTCCTCTCGCATGAGTATCTTGCTGAGACGCTGGACAACCCAATTTTTAGGTTTAGAGGGAGGCTTGGAGGAAGATGAGCCGGACCCCGAAGTGTTAGAGGAGGAGGAGGAAGACCTGGAGGGACGGAGAAAGAAACAGGGAGATTGATGAAGAGTTAAGATACAGTAACTTGAGATTTTGTTGGTTGGTAGGAAACCAGTGCGTCAACAAGTATATGCTCTGGTAAGCGTGTACACCAACACGTACTACCCATACAGCTAGCTGCGGTCCTAATGCTGAATAAATAGAAACATAATCATTCAAATGCTAACATGCCTGACACATCATCCTCTCGGATGTCTGTGACACCTACCAACTTTAGTCGAGGAAGGTTATATCTTAACTTTTAGCTCAGGGGATATTAATACCAGCCACCTTAAAATAACTTACCTAGGTGTATGAACAGGAGTCTTGTCTTTTCCGGGAGTCTTGGGGGTAGTCATGTTGGCTCTGCTGGTGGACTGTGGGGTCTTGTGTTTGCCGCCGCTCCCCGGTGTGCTGTGGGTCTTAGCGAGGCTAGTTATGAATTCCCTGTTCATTCCTTTGTGTCTGGATGTTGTATTGCAAGTGTGGCAGGTAGCCATCTGGGATAAGAAGAGGAAGGGAACATATTCATTAATATTGCATGCCCTGCATCTATATTCCTCTCATACATAACAAGGTTTTGAGGTGAAGGCATACAATGTATCCCCATTGGGATACTGTTTTTAAAACAATTCTGCAGGTTTTTCTAAAAGGTCCTTGAAACTTCGGTTATACAATACCAATCTTTCTACCAACTAATGTGAATCTAACTGAGGGAAGCTGAACCTTTTATCATTTCAGTTATTTTTCATCAGACCCAGTACAGCCGTAGCTGTCCGTCTTTCTCTGGGACACGCAGGAGTTTGTTGTTACTCAGTCTCGACATTGACTGGAGTGACAGAATGACTCCCGGGACACAGGCAGCAGGACTAGCCACGATTGTGGCGGGCAAAGGGACTGTAATGAGAAGTGCTCATAGGCCCTGGGTGACGCAGACCAGCCCAAAGACTCACAGATGTCAGGCACATCTATTGCCATCTCACAGCTGAGAAACAGTTCACAATGGGGTCCAGGAAGCAAATTCATGGCAGGAGATGATTCACCTAACAGCTGAGGCTCTTCCCATTGGCCCTACTAAACATCCCTGAGATTATCTTACCATTGAATGTTTGTACAGTTATGAAAATAACTTGAGTTGTTAAAGCAGGTTGGGAAGCATTGACCTAGCCTATGAGAGGGCAAGGCGGGGCTGTTGCCATGCAGTTTCACCTATTCAGGGTATGGGTGCTATAAGAGCCGCTAGACAACTTTTTCCACTTTATCTCCATTAATCTTTCTTAACCACAATTGCTTTGGCTCTTTAGTAGAGTTTACACTTTACTGTGTCTCATGTGACAAATTCTAAGCAATTTCCTGGCACAGATTGCATAAGACACTATATAAGGCAAAAGCATGCAGACACTTGAGAGAGTTACGAGACCCAACTGCCAGTTCATGAGATCCTCATAATTCAAGACAAAAATTGGCATCCCAGACTCTTGCCTACCACTGTCTTGTGTCCCAGTAAAAAGGGTAAAGTGCAAGTAACCAGGCTGGGACTGGGAAAAACTACAGTGCATGTCTTACACAGAGTTTATGTAGGGTGTTGTAAAATCATCAGTAATCAATCAATAAGATCTTAATGGAGCACAAATCTAAAACATGGTACATCCACAAATAGTTTTACAACTATGGTACATACAGAAACAGTTAAAAAAAACCAACAACCTATAACTGCTATTTTAATCGCCACAATCACTTTTTACATTTGTAGCATCTGGCTGACATTACACCACAATCAGATCAAGTGACAAGAATTTGGAGACAATCACATCGTCCCAGTGATAAGCTGACCCTAAGTGCAAGACAAGCTACAGAGGGTAGCTTTTTTTGTTTGTTTTCTGAACTAAGAAGCTTAGACCAACTCCAGTACAGAATGAAACTCTTGAACAGGAAAGCCAGTTCTACTTTCCTCCCTGGAGAATACGTTCCTTGTAGAAAATACAGTACAAAGTGTTTAAGTGCAATTTAGAGTCCATTAAGTACTCTTCCTCAACATTCCTCCCGGCCTTCAGTAACTTAATTCCCATTAATGACACAAGACTTCCAGAGTTGCACAAGCTTAAAACTGGTCAGAACAGACCACCAATGCAGAGGTCAGCAAGTCTGAGCCGAGCCGTTGACAGGCCTGAATGCTGATGAGATGGAAAACTCACCGACACGAAGGTAGCCATTTCAGATTCTGACAGGTGTCTGTTGATGAGTGTTGGAGAGTTGGGTTTCCAAGCACCAGGAGTACAGAGTTCCTCTTTCCTTCTACGTGATCGTGTGTTAAGTGTTTACTACATGAGCCTGCATGTCCGGCTTTATACAGACCAAGCCCAGCAACTAGCCCACCCATCTTTGCATAGGGGTGTGGCTCGAAAGAGAACTGACCAATGCACTGTCAAAAGGGTTGACTAATCTGTGGCACAGCCAGCACTCTTCTGCTGCTGCTTTGTCAGTGGTGACGATTTAACTGGACTCACCCTGACAAA